AGAATTTTACTAAAATTTCACATTTTATTCATTGAAACATGTGCTTTCATGACGTCACAATTGCCTAGCGGCTACAGTTCAAATCGTCTTATATGAACGCTTTTAAGATTTTCAAAATTGTGTAAGGTTTTGAAGGCGAAGGAGACAAGCAATGAGTTTACCTTTATTTAACCTTCTAATTTAGGTCTAATTTCAAAAAAAATTTAACTGCACAATATTGTCATGGCAAAATTTACAAAACAATAACCGATTTCTTTATTTTTCAAATAATAAGAGAATAAGAGTTGCTTTTAGAGACTTGAAAAAATGTAACACATCGATTTTTTACCACGAATCCCATACATATCAATTTTTACTAACGCCCCCAGTGGATTTCCTGACCGTTTTTCAAAAATCAAAAACATTTTAGAAATACTGTCCTCGAGATCTTCTTGCTCTGTGAATTTCACCAGGATTGAATAAGAATAAAGCATCTTATTTTTAGGTTGACTAATCTTGACAAAATGTAACGCTTGTCGTTTTTGACGTTATAATTCTGATTGCGCCCTATACTGCCCATTGTATTGTTTTTGTATTTTGACGCCATAATGTTACTCTAAATGTCCCCTATTTCGTGCGACGTGTATATACGCCTCGTTAGTGCAGGAGTATTTCACACAGCCACCGCCCTTTCATCAAATGTGTCTTCTATTTTCTTTAATTTCGTCGTCACTTTCTTAAAAATTGACGGATAATTTTAAACTTATATGATCAGACACACACCCTGACATATACCACATAAGTTTCTCATATTTAGTTGTTGTTTATATTACCATGCATATAATTACGCATTTGAGCTGCTTCGAACATTTCTTATTTTGGAAAGATGCAGGAAAACCAAGGAATAGTGAAAATGAGATATGCCGGAAATATAGACAAGTGAAAAAAGATTTCCAGGAAAGCCAATGCGTTGCGTCGAAAAGCTAGAATAAAGAAGCTTATTCATTTCCCTATGTTCTTTAGTCATATTTCCTCATTGTTAATGAATTGCAAAGTTTGTGCTCTCGAGCACACTTAAGATATGTTTTTGGACACCATTATGTTCCATTTTTTCAATAGTAATCTTTGCAAGTTTTTTGTGTCTCTGTTATTTTCTAGCTTTGGCCACAGATAAATGGCACCTTTTGGCGTAAAAATCAAGGTGATTAAGGGTAGAGGGTCAAAGTTATGATAGTCGGAAGTTTAAGCCAATAAAAATGAAATTCGTAAAATATTGATAGTCACATTCTTTCGAATACTGTAGAAAATGCAAATTAATCATTATGTGTTTGGTAGATAGTACTCATTTAATAGATCGAATTCTCTTTCCAACATGCTTTATTTCATGAAAATCGATTTTAGTTAATTTTTGTGCATGTTCCGTAATGCTTATGTAAACTGTGGTACCAGAATTATAATCATAAACCTCTCCCAATTTAAGATGTATTTTTTTATTTTCCCCTTCCCCCGATTTTTCAATTTCACCAATTCAATTTATATTCCGTTGCTATTGTGGTTGCTAGCGAAAATCAAGGACCGAAATTATAATGAAACAATAATAAGTCAGCATTTATCTATTATCTTACTACATCACTAATTGGTATTGTTATTTGTAGTACTTCTTGAAATATTAATGTTAAAAACAAGTTGAACTTGAAATTGTTGAATATTCAGTTACACGTTCCATTGATTTCAAGGAGTTTTGTTTACTAATCGATTTTAGTGTCTGGGTTTTTAACAACGCCGTCCTCCCATTATGAGGACGTAAATAAATAGTCATGGACGCAGAAAAAAATTGTTGGTGCGTTCTTGGGACGCATTACTCACCATAGGTTGCAAACAAATGTTATTTTATATGAAAAACGTCCCTAATTGGCGAAAACATATCAGAAATAAAATTGTCGAATGAAAAAAATAGAAAGTAAATTATTTTAGGTCAAACGGCATTTTCTCCAAGTTTAACCCAATAAATCAAGCTTATACAACTTAAACTTAAAAAATATAGTATAACTTACCTTAATAATACTTATTTTGCTGAAACAATATGATAAAACCGGTACATTTTGGTCAAAATGTGGCCGGCTTTGCAAAAAGATTTCAATGTGAGAAGTGATATAAACACTGCCATCTTTTGGATTTTATAGTTAGTTTTTTGCTTAGAGAAATCAGTCTACACACGTGCCATCTATATTCAGATATACAGCTGTGATTACATTGAATTGCATTGACTGGGGTTTAGAATGATGAAATATGATGATTATTTAGGATATACAAAATGTGAAAATACAAAATATTAAAATTGAAATTTAGAAATGCATCAAGGCAAGCTGTTTAAAGACTTCCTGGAAATGCTTAGATTGCTCAATTTTGAAGGTATAAATATAGAAAATTTCTGTGGGGAGGCTCAGGCCCCTCTTTCATGTCTTTAGAGTTCGCTTCGCTTGCATGAATTGGGTCAATTGGGTCTATATAATTAATGTTTTTGCAAATAATTTTTAATTTTAGGATAGAATCTGAGTATTATTAATTGAATCATAAAGTCACGAGGTAAAGGGTATTATCATGCCACGCCCTCCTAAAGTTAAGAGGTACCTCCCAGAATGGGAAAACACATACCCCTGGCTGCAGTATGTTGCAGGCCAAGGAATGCGGTGCAGTTTATGCATCAGGGCTGGAAAGAGGAACATTTTCATCAGCCCAAATGGGTGCAAATGCTTTCAAATGGCCTTGGATGTGACATTCTGTAACGCCTTGTGTATAAACGTTACTTATTCATCATTTACACTTGTACAATCTGACCCCAGGGTCTAAATACATGCAATAAAAACATGATAAAGCAACATAAAGAATACATGTGCATGTTTATTAAGTGTTTCTCTTTTTTCAATTGGGACCCACTTTTTTTGGGAGGGACCCCAAATTTTTATAACACTGGGTCCCCGGGACTCACTTTTCATAGTCCCTATTGAAAACGCTGAGTGTATTTGCATTTATGACGCGAAATTGAGTTTTAGCAAGATAAATTTTACGCCGTGATAAACAGTATCCGACGTGCATCGTATTTCTTATGTTCCTATATTCATCTGAATATATTTTGTATGCCAATAAGTGGCGATTTCAATTTAATGCTTCCAAGAGTGCAATTATGGTTTTTGGAGAGACAAAAAGTCAGAAAATGAAGAGACAACACTCTGAATGTACCAAAATAACAATTGAAAACCTTGTAATTAATGAGGAGAATTCATATAAGCATCTTGGTGTTAATGTCTATGCAAATAATAATTCTGATAAGTTGAGGAATGTTAATGCTACAATAAGTGATGCAAGATGTAATTTTTATGCATGTGTAGGAGCCAGAATGAGGAATGATGGTTTAAACCCCTTAATACTTTCTAAGGTTTACCAATCTGTAATGATACCTAAAATGCTATATGGAGCAGAAGTTCGATCTTTTAATAAGCAGGAGGTTGATCTCTATGAAAAAACTCATAAACACATGTGTAAATCGATTCAGAATTTACCTCAGAATACACCAAATGATGCATGTTTGGCATTATTGGGGTGGAAAGGAATATTATATAATATTGAGCTATGTAAGCTAATGTTCTGTTTCAACATATTGTCCTTGGGTGCCTGCAATATTCATAGAAACATTTTTATATTTAGAGTGTTTGAATGTTTAGTGAATCATCAAGCAGGTGGTATTACTACACTCTTAAAAATTATTACTTGGATTCCTTATATTGAGAAATTGTACTACTCGTTTTAAGTCAAAAATTACTTAAATAATCTTGAACTACTGAATAATTTTTAATTAATTTTTAAGTAATTCATTTATGGTGAATTTACTAATGCAAGGAGAGAAATTGAAATACTTACTGTAGTAATTGTAATACTCATTTACATAATTAAGCAATTAAAAAACTCAAGATGACAATATAGTTAAACCTAAGTAAAATGAAGTAAAACTAAGTATTTAACTTTAAGTAATTTTTATACTTGGGAAATACTCGAGTAATTCATTTTTAAGAGTGTAAAGAGTATATTACTATTCTAAACAAATATGAATTGTTGGACAATGTTGTCAACTTCATGTACAATGGTTGTATAAATGTGTCAAAGTTTCTATGGAAAAAAATATGTAAGAACAATGTTAGAGATTTTGAATTTAATAGTTGGAGTCAATCTTTATCAATGAGTATTCAACTTCAAGATTTTAGAACTGTACAGTTGCATGTTGACATTCCTTCTATATGGTATTACTTGGGACTCAAACATCCTGAACTTAAGCAAAAATGTAATATGATGATTAAGTTACTATGTGGTATACATAATTTAGAAATAAACAACCATTCTTTACCTAGAGAAAATAGGGAGTGTAAGAATTGTAAAAACAACTCATTAGAGGACCTTTATCATTTCATTATGGGTTGTGATAATTATGTTGATATCAGAAAGATTATGATTGAAAATTTGATTAAGGAAAATTCTACATTTAAGAAACTTTCAAGTGAGGTTTTATAAAACATTATTTTAGGCATGGAGTTTCCAATGAAAAATTGGGATAATGTTTTGATTATTTCATGTAAGAATGTCTCAATTATGTACCAAAGAAGAATTTTTGGCTGATTTTGCAATGTATCCATTGTTATTTTGGGTCTAAATTTTGCCCATGTATACATGTATAATTCATGATATTGTAATTGTTTAATTAGCATAAGGTATAGTGAGAGATTGTTTTAATTGTCAAACTATTCTTCAGTATTGGAGGCTAAATAAATAAATAAATAAATATTGATCGAAATAGTTTGATTTTATTTTTGAAGCTATATTTTAGCATAGACATTAAAAATCACCCTCGTATGCATTACTCTTAATAATATTAAAATATCTAGATAAAATTGAAAGAAAGATATTTATTTAATCATCAACATACCCTAAATGAATTATATCAGAAAATATATGATTAGTATAGCCCTTACCTATCCAAAAAGGCAGCATGTTTTGTATATGTTTTTCCTTTTGCATCTCTGTTGGAATCGTAGAAAGCATCAATATTGAAACGCTCATTAGGAATAATTTTGAGATGATTTTTTGATTTCACCAATGTCTCCCAAAATGTCTCAATGCCTTCGCCTCCGGGAAAATTGCAGGATATACCGACAATGGCAACAGCCTTTGTCAAATCCATGACAATATCCCCGCACTATCATTAGCGTTGAGAAGTAAGTAAATGGTAAAATCGTACTCAACGTTTTAATTTCAAGACAACTAAAACGTTTGAATTGATATGTCAAATAAGCAGCACTTTTTGTAATACCTCATATTATGTTAAAAATGCCATATTCGTCATTTTATGGCAGCCAATCAAGTTGCAAATGTCATATTATTGCGCAAAGGCTGTATTATTTTTAATATTGAAACGTATTCAAACCTCGTTCAAGGGATCAGAAATGACAACGAATCGTCAAAATAAATATGAAAAATAACTTGATAGCAATAGCGTCATCGAATGAGATAATAGTAAGACAACACCCCTCAGCACCATATTTGGATTTCGTCGTCTGAATTGACGTTTGATTCCGAGAAACCATTTTGAAATTATATCTTCGAGAAGCAGCGGTATAACCTGAGGGGAATATCTGTGGAAGAAACACGCAGAGTATAAGGAGCAAACGTAAATAGAATTTGTTACGTAAACACATTTGTCGAAATAAGGGATTTTTGTTTAAAGCACGTTCTTATGTGCTGATACTGAAGACGCCAGACGGGTATCGATTTTGAACAATTTTGACTTATGAAACAGGTTCGTACATTAGAGGTTATTAAATGGGAGGTTTTTGATACAGGGTATATCTTAGGAAATACAATATTTTATAATTATTTATTTCATTATTATTTTATAAACCATAAAACAATGACAAATATGTAGAATATATATCAATTGAATGCTATAGATGTATTGAAACGTTTGTATATAAGAGGTATTTACATTCAAACGCCTTACAACTAATAAAATATATTGTATGAAAAACGAAACATTTTTCCTTATAATAGTTTTTTAAAATGTGAACGGGGAAGTACAATACGACGTAAAACAATTCATAACAACGACACTTTGAAAAAAAACAAATGTTGTTTACCAAACCAAAGTGGTGTAACGATATAAGACGTCAACAGACTAATTGTTTTGGTCCGTTGGCTACCATTTATATGGGGTCCATTGAAACAGTAAACATTTATAAATTTGAAAATTAAAGTTAAGACTGTTCTCGTCTTTCTAATCATCTGATTTTCTTTTTAGAAAAATGCACATAAATGGATGTAAAATGCAATAGAAAACGAAAGACTTTCACTCATTTTGTACCCTGTATTCGTGCGAAATAAATATCAATTTTTTAAATATCTAAATTGCTCAAAAGTTAAAGGATATTCAATATTTTGTAAGTACCAAATATCAGCCTGTTCCGATGAAATGCCTTAATTTGTTACATTTTCTGCGAAAACGGTTAGGTATAATTTTAGACCTGACACGTATCAAAGACGTTTAAGCCGATTCACTGATTATTAAGAGAAATGAAATGAGCGACACGTGGAAAGGTTATGTGTGCGTAAAAGCGCCAGGATATTTGATTTTTAATAGATAAATTAAAGTTTTGACATTTTTGTAATTTTGGATCATTGCCTTAACACAGAATTATTTTTGAATGTTTGTTTGGTTCCTTCCATGAGAAAATACATTTTTAGACCCGACACGTATCAAATATTTTTTTAGGAACGGGTACCGATTCACTGATTTTTAAGATTAAAGGAAATGAGCGAATCGGAAAGGATTATGTGTGCGTAAAAGCGTGCGAATATTTAAATTTCAACAAAAGAATTAAGGTTTTGACATTTATATAATCTGAAGAACATCTCCTTTGCACAGAATTATTTTTACAATCATTGTTTGGTCCCTTCCATGAGAAAATGCGATTTTAGACCTAACACGTATCAAAGGTGTATTTAGCATTGAGTTCCGTCTCGCTGATTTGTAAGGCAAATATAATGAGCAATTTTAAGCGGAAAGGATGTGTACGTAAAAGTGTGGGAATATTCAACTTTGAATATATTAATTGAAGTTTTGAGATCGAGAAATCTGATGAACATCACCTTCACGTTAACACTGAATTATTTTTATAGTTATCGTTTGGTTCCTCCGACGAGAAAATGCGATTAAGAACTAACACCGTATTTAGCAATGAATAAAATAAAAATATAGCGGAAAAGGTTATGTGTGCGTCGAAGTGTGTGAATATTCAATTGAATAAATTAATTACAGTTTTGACTTTTATAGAATCTATGGAACATCATCATTATATAGAGATTCCTTCCATGATAAAATGCGATTTTAGACCTGGCACGGGTATCAAAGAAGTATTTAGCAATGAGTTTAAGATCATTGCATTTTAAGCTAAATGAAATAAGAAATGGAAATGGTATTGTGTGCGTACAAGTGTGTGTGTACTAAATTTTGAAGAAATAGATTAAAGTTTTGACATTTAATTTATATAATCTGCAGAATATCACCTTTCCAAAGAATTATTTTTATAATTTTTGCTTGGTTTCTTCCATGAGATGCGCAATTTTGGACCAGACACACGTTTCAAGGGTGTATTTAAAGCAATTGCGTTCAATTGCATATGTGTTTTTAAGGTAAATGAAATGAGCAAAACTGGAAACGGTGTGCAGAGTGTGTCAATATTTTATTTTGAATAAATAAACGAAAGTTTTGACATTTATATAATCTATGGAATCTCACCTTTACACAGAATTATTTTCATAATTATTGTTAGGTTCCTTCTATTAGAAATGCAAAGCTGAGATTGGTTCTTTTGTATTACTGTAAAAGGATTTAGATTGCATAAAAAGAGAAAATGTAACAAGTGCGGTTTAACGTATCTAATATCTAATCTTAAAGACTAAATCATGATTTTGACATTTCTATAAGCTTTGTAGGACTACCTATCCACAGAATTATTTTCTTTTTAATCGAATTTTAAATTTCTTCATTAACTAAGGCCAATGTGACTTGAACTGAGTAAAAAATGTTGATAATTATCCGTGCATTTTAGTTATATTAGTCATACGGGTTTTTCACTTTAAACGGGCTGAATGTGAAAAATGGCACCTGTGCGAAAAAGTTTGTCATTAATTTATTTTGAAAAACAGTTTTAATTTTGACACATATATATATTCTATGATATATTACCTGTATAGAATTATTTTCAAATTGAATGTAAGGTTACTTCAATAAGCAAATCTGAAGTATATTTTAACTTTAATTTCAAATCAGATATGATTCAGCCAAATGTTTTAAAGTTCAAGAAGAAATTAAAACAAATCAAAATAAATCTTATAATTCAACTCAGAGTAGACAATACTTGGTTCAATTCTGTTACTTTCATTCATGCCAAATGAATTTGTTTGGTCTGGCTCCACTAAGTACTGAAATCTATATTTACAGAAAACAGCAAAAACTACCAAATGGTTATAAGTTTTAAGCCAATATAAAGATGGCAGAAATACAGTAGTATAATATTTTCTTATAATACGGGACAGCATCTTTTCCATTCAACCGAGGTTGGGCCATGCGGCCGAAGGTAAGCCATACAACCGAATTTTGCCAATTCAATCTGACGGAGAATGCTTGATTAACACCCCAGTCACATTTGTCGTACGGAGGCCGTGCGTCGACCGCAGATCAATTAAATCAGTGTATTTCTGCGGCGAGCGTAGGAAAACTACGCTCGCCTTGCGGCCTCCGTCGCCGTAGAAATGATAACTCGGAGTTATAATATTTGTTCATTTCTGAGGTCCCCGTAGAAATCAACTGGCTCAACAAGATTGAATCATTATTTGTCAATGTTTCACGATCACTTTTCATTTGATATTACTTCCTAGCGCTATGAATAACATTTATAAATTGTCCCGATGTAAATAAAATGAAAAAAGTATTATTTATCAACAGAAATTTAAAATTCACCGTGCGGCTGCCGTGGGAAATGTGACTGCAAAAGTATGAGAGCGCAGAAATTCCACGGCGAGCGTAGAAATGTTACTGGCCGCAGAAATGACAGACCGCAAGGTCGCCGTAGGAAATGTGACTGGGGTGTAAGTTTAAGCTGATCTGATAATCTCATATTTATTACTACTGACCATGATTTTCAACACAACTAAATAATCATAACATTTCTTGGTCAGCCTTGCGATAAATTACATTGAATTTCCTTCTATTGACAAAATAAACCAATGTTATGGCAGTTACGGTCACTGCATCTGGGTTAAACATTTGTATACAAGCCAGGGATGAATAACTCTCTTACTGAGTTATGACCCTTAATTAAAATGAAATACAGACACAGTAGTTCATGAAACTTAAAATCAACCTATTACAATTTACGGAAATAACAAAACATTCAATGTGAGGTAAGTTAAAACATGATATTCTTCTTGGCTTAATAGTTAACAGAGAACTATATTCTAGAATGGACTTTTAATGAGAATAAATATTAAGGTAATCTCAATATATATTAGACAGCCCACTAATTTTACAATTCCTTACAATACAAACTAATTGTCATAAATTCATGAAATAATCTCTGATTCATACTGTCCACAATTCTACATTTCAAGCTTCAAGCTTACTTAATAATAGTATATGAACTCTTCAACAAGTTTTCGTAAACTAAAGTTCCAAAATGCATTGGAATTAAAGATCGGCAAAACAAAACCTCAATACCAATATGATTACAGGCTGGCTAAATTGAATTGAAATACAAATACCATCTTCATCTTTATCTCGTCTCCTTTATACAGCTACAGTTTTACCAGAACTAACTTGATATAAAATGTTTAAAATGATAAGAAAATACTAGATTAGTAGTTTGAAATAACAACTTTGGTCTTCATTGAAATACTACTACTTAGATGAGCTAAAATGTACTCTTTTACAAATAACAATAAAATTGTTTCTGTTTTTCTCCTTTGAACAAATCATTCTTTTTAAATAATACAAAAAGCTTTCATCTACTAAATGATATGATTATTGATAATTACCACAGCAAACCTCCCCTTTAATATGGACATGATTTCCATAAAGTTCTCATTCAGCCACGAGCTGTGACCTGTGAAACATGACCATAGAGAAGT